AAAACGCGTTATTATCATTTATAGCGTCTAAAATTTCGCTATACTGCATTAAGGGTGAAAAAATTTTTGATGAATTTAATAAAAATTTTGTATATATAAAATTTTTTATTTAATACAAAATTATGGGGCGCCAATCATTTTTAGCTAGTTAGTTTTTTGTATGGGGCGTTAATCAAAAGAATGCCATGATATGATATGAGCACAGGATCTTAAAACTTGAAAAAATAGAAGTGGTTATTCTTGGCACAATTAAAGCCAGGGTCCCAATCAAAGGAGTACCAAAGTTTCTTCGACAATACTTTCTTTTTTTATAGAGAAGGGATGAATAATTTATTATATCAACGTAAAAGTTAGTAAAATATATCTGACTTGATTTTGAGTAGAGAACTGTATTGTAAATGATAACTTACCTCAAATTATGGGAATTGATATAATGACTAACTATACTAATTATATCCGATTAAAAGCCCGTGATCATATCATGTGTGAAAATTAGGAAATATGGGAAAGTTACATAAATAGATGTTTTCTTTTAAAGAGTTGTCAAAAGTACAAACAAAAAAGATGTCTCCTTGAAAATTTTATTTAGAGGAATGACTTAAACAATTAAAACAACAACTTTGATAATAGAGTTGATAGAATATAAGTTTTTAAGATGACAGAACATGATTCTAAGAAAGTTAAGGTGTTTATTGTAGAGAAACAAAATAGTGATATTTTCTTATTGCTGTTATTTAAACATGTGGATAAACAAAGTGTGATTATCTAAAATGGTTGAAAAGATTGCCATGGAATAACTTTTTTAATGTGTATACTATGGTGAACTGTAGTAAAAACTTCATAAACCCAACAGTTGGCTACCATACCCGGTTAATTGAGTATAATATAGTCATCCCAAGATAAAAATATTGAGAAAGAAGAGATAAACATTTTTGTTTTTTATAAATTTGTTTGAACTTTTTGGTTATGTTACCGATGTAGAGAACTGGAATTTATACAATTTATGATAATATTAGAAAAGAATTACTGATATGATTGGTTTAATTGCTTTTTATTTTATTTGTTTATAAATAACCAAGAAACTTATAAGGATCATTTTTATTGACAAATTTTAACTATAAATAGAGTGCCAATTCAGATATTATTCAAATACATCTATATTATTATATAAGTGTGAATTTTTTAAAATAAAATCTTTATTGTTAAACATGTTTCTTGATAAATTTTTTAAATAAAGGTTAGTATGACAAAAATTATTTAAAATATATTTTATAGGGTTATTAGAACAATATAATAATATTTACAATCAATTGAATAAATTAAATGTGTTAATTTAAATTTTGCAATTAACACCAAATTTCTTTTAATTAAATAATTATTGCAATCAAATGCGTATAACCGTAGATAAACTATGATTTTTGTAACCAATATAATAATTTTTGCAATCAGTTAAATTACCATTGCAATCAATAACATAATCAAATTTGTCTAGGATTTACAATAAATTAAACACAAATTATTTTTAATAAGAATTTTAAACCTATTATGAATTAAAGTAATATAAATAAAATTTTAGATGCGATGATAGTAAAAAAATACTGACAAATATAGAAGATGTAGAAAAGAAATATCAAAAGTTTTTGTAAGATAGTATAGTAAGTTTGAAGAGATAACGTAAAGTTGTCTCTAATGATGACACCCAAATAACAGTATATAAGTCATTCGAAGATCACATATTTAAACCGTAATAGATATATTAATACCACCTCATCAGATTATTAATGGTATTTAAAAACGTTATAATACTACTAAAAAGGTATTACTACAATCTCGTTGTGGTGATAAGCGTTTTAAACATAGCAGTGTTCAAAAAAAAATCGATCACTAAATTTTTTTAACATAAGTTTAAAACTAAGTGTGGAAAAACCAATTTTTTGATTGAGAGATATAATTTAAATTAAATATTGTATTTAAGTTTAATATAGAAAATTTTCAATATAATTTTAATTTTATACTTAATTTAATAAAAATATAAACTGTGTTCAAAAAAATTCGGCAATATTTTATTTAATAAGTAGTGTTTTTACCTTTTGCTTAATAAACAGCTAAAACATTTTTATGAAAACTTAAAATGTATGGTCTAATCATTTCAGGTGTAACAGAATTCCATATTTTAACAATTTCTTCTTTAAGATTTTTTGTTAAGCTTACCTTTTCCTCTTAAGCACATCTTCATGTACAGTGATGTTCAAAAAAAATCGGCCACCAAATTTTTTAACATAAATTTAAAACTAAGTATAAAAAACAATTTTTTGATTGAGAGATGTGATTTAGATTGAAAATTGACCTTAAGTTTAATAAAAAATAAAGACAGTGTTCAAAAAAATCGGTCTGTAAATTTTTACCTCTGTTTTTTTTATTTCATATGCTATTTTTTCTTAGCCCATGTCTAGACATTTAAATGAAATTGATAAAGCTTTAATAAAAGAAGATTTAATAATGGTTTAAGTTGTAATCAAGTTGCAAAAAAGAGAATTTGCTAGATCCACAGTCCAAAATATTGTAATTTATTCAAATCCGAGATGTATACTAGTCGAAGATATGGTTCTGGAAGAATAAGTAAAATTACTTTTGATATGAAAATTTATATTAAATCTCTTTATAAATCAAATTTTTTTATTACATCATTAGAAATTTCAAAGAATATTAAAGAAGAATTTAATATTAAGATTTCAAGACCTACTGTTTCAAGAATATTGAAAAGCTTTGGTTTTTTAACTAAAATTGCTGTGAAAAAACCCTTATTTAAACCTATTAATATAGTAAAAAGATTTAAAATTTCAAAATTTTTAGGTATTAAAATGAGATCTTAAAAAGAATTATTTTTATTAAAGAAACTAAATTTAATTTATTTAACAGTGATGGTGTCCAATATGTTAGATAATATCATGAAAAAAGGTATGATATGAAAAATACTATTGGCACGAAAAAACATAATGCTGGATGTATTATGGTATGGGTTTAATATCATATAAATGGACCAAAATGTTTGTATTTATTAAAAACATTATGATTAAAGCAGCTTAAAAACAAATTTTACCTCAAAATTTGAGAAATTTGCTATTGAAATGGGACTTGATGAATTTACAGTGGTGGAAAATAAAAATGAGACTAACTTAAAGTTTTGTTTTAAAAGTTATTCTTATTGAATTTCATTTTAAATTGTCTTCTATTTATATTGTAATATCTATTTATAAAAAATTTATATACAATAATGCTTTTAAACAATATATGTTGTAAAACCTTTTTTAAGTGGAAAAAATAAATGAGACTTCTTTGAAAAATTTTCATTTTCCCTCTTAAAATAATTAAAAATAATTTTTTATTATCTCTTTAATGGTAAAATATATTACTAAGGATGACAAAATAAAAATAGTTACATTGAAAGAAGCAGGAGTAAAGAATTTGGAAATTATGAATAAATTTAAAATAAGTAAAGCAACCTTTTTTAGAATAATTTAAAGGTATAAATTAATGAATAATATTGATAGAAAGAAAAGGATCCAGTCGTCTAAAGAACTTTAATGAATCAGAAATTGATATTATAAAAGTAAAGTAAAAAAATTAAAAAATTGGTTTAAGAAAATCGACTAAAGAGCTTAATGTAGTATTATATAAAACAGTTACATCAAAAACATATGGAAATGTTTTAATGACAATGATAAGCTGTTTATAGACTATTAAAAAACCTTTTTTAAGCATAAAAAATCATTTCTTCAAGATTAATGTTTAGAAAAGAACACATATGGGATACTATAGATTATTGGAAAAGAATTTTGTGGTCAGATGAAACCAAAATTATCTTATTTAATTCAGATGGAATGGTTTATACCAGAATACCAAGAGGCATAAGGTATGATGAAAATTTTCTAAATTCCACTATTAAATACGAAGAAGGGAATTTAATGTTATAGGGTTGCTTCTTATACAACGGTGTTGGGAAAATAGAAGTGATTAAAGGTAACATGATAGCCATGTCATATGTTCAAATTTTAAACAGAAATTTACTTTCATCTGTTAAAAATTGAACATAGATGATGATTTTATCTTTCAAAAAGATAATGACCCAAAGCATAAAGTTTCTTTAACCAATGATTTTTTTGAAAAAAAAGAGATAGAACCTCTAGAATGGCCTGCTCAAAATCCGGATATAAATTCAATAGAAAATTTGTGGTATTTTCTAAAGATTAAGGTCAATGAAAGAAAACCAAAGAATATGAAAGATTTAGAAAAAATTGTTGAAGAAGAATAGTATAAAATGCTAAAAGAACTTTGTGAAAGACTTGTTTGTTCACTTCCAAAATGAGTTGAAGAATTTTTAAATCTAAAGGAAGAAATACAATGTATTAAAATAAACTGTCTCATTTTTATTTTTCACCATTGTATATTAACAGAAAAAAGAATCAAGTTTAAATTTCTGGTAGCAGAAGATTCAAACTACAAAATAAGATACATACTAGATGGTTCATATGGGTCAAGTCTTGATGCGTGTATGTTTTCGTTATCAGATCTTGGAATTTTTGCAAAAAATAATCTTAAAATTTATTACAACTCTGACTTAAATTTGCATAATTATCAACAATATTATATTTTAGGGGACAGTGCTTACCCAAACAGAGAATATATGAAAACACCTGTTAAAGGAGAATTGACAATTGAGGATCAAGAATGGAATCATATGTTAATATTACCAAGACAAGTAATTGAAAGAATGTTTGGATATTTTAAGGGGG